TTTTATGTCTTTAAAACTTTTTTAGGGTTAATTTGATGAAAGTCTTTTTCAAATAACCATACTGTGATAAAACGATCATTTTTTTATTATTCAAGAAATTTGAAAAAGAACAAAAAAAGATTTCCCAAATTTCAATTACTTTTTAAAAAGATTTTAATAATTAACACTTTTTTATTTGTTTATTGTCATTTTTTTATTTATTTACTTTTTCTTATAATTTTAATTTTTGGGCTTTATAAAAAAAAAAATTTTGACTGTAAAGCCATGGAAAAAATCTTTGGGGCCTCGGTTACCTGGGTTATTCTTTCTGCCGGTGAATATCTTTATTCATGATATTCAAGGGCTACTATCAAAAATTTTCGTTTAATTTTTCATACCAAAAAATTTTGGAAATAAGTCTTTTTTCTTTTTTAAATTTGTGGGTTTTTTCTTTTTAAAAAAATTTTTGACAGTATTTTTCCTTTCATTTATAAATTAAAAAAGGTTCCATAACAATTAAGCCATAGTGTAAATAAACAGGAAAAACAAAACAATTTTTAATTTTAAGATTAACGAATAGTCTAAGGAAAGGCTATTTCATTTTTCTTTATTTAACTTTTTTTTCAAATTCACCACTTGGGATAATTTACAGGCCGGAAAAAAAAAAATAAAATACATGTTTATTAAAAAACGAAAAATCTTAGACATGCTTTTAACTTAACATACTTCTTGCAAAAGAAAAACTTATAAATTGATTAGAATTTTATAATAATATTATTAAAAGAAGTATTATTGAACTTTTACATTGAAGAAAGCAATGACCTAATTAAGTTTAATTCATAGAATAAACATTAGTAAACAATTTGGTCCGTAAAATTGTTTAGGGGGGTATTTAAACATTCGTTATTTTGAAAAGCTATAAAATAGATATCATGCTTTAAATATATAAACCCTCTTTTTATTAAAGGTTGTAGTTTTGATTATCAGTGGAAAAGGGGTCTTTTTTAAGGGTTAATCTTTTGGCTTTTCTTTTAAAGGGTTTTAGTGATTTAAGTTCAGTACATTTTTAAAATTTAAACAATTTTAAAATTTTCATTTTAAAACCCCGGCATTTTAAAAAAACTGGTCGATCCTTTTTTATTTTTTTTTCCCCGAAAAAATTTTTTAAAATTTAAAAAATTTAGTAAAAAAATTTAAAATAATTCTCTTTTTTTGATTAGCGTATTAAAAATTTTTTACAATTCAAAAAAATTTAATTGTTTTTTGTAGGCTTATGAAAAAAATTTTTTGGGCCAGCGGGGGATTTTTTAATTTTTAATTTTTTAACTGTATCAGGTTGTTTCCAAAAGTCCTTTTTGAAAAAAAAATTTGAGGCTTTGGGCTAAATTAAAAACCCCAAATTATATCAGATGATAAATTTTAAAGCGAACCCCTTTTCAAAATAAATATTTGGGTAAATTGAAATAAACCTAAAATTTTTAAATTATCGTATAAATGGGTTTCCCTAAATATATTTCCCCAAAAATTTTTCCCCAATCACTTTCCCATTTCATTTTTCAAAAGCTTTTTTTTGGGTTTTCAAAACTTTTAAATTGTTAATGTTAAAATTTTCCTAAAAAAATTGTTTAATAATTTTTTTATTTAAATTTTATAACCGGGAAAACTTTCAAAATGAAAACCAAAAAAATTGTTTATTGTTATATCTAAAATTAAACGCTCTTTTTTGTCCCCAAAAGCTGTAGCATTTTTTTTTGCCCCGTTTTAATTAATTTTAAAAAAAAAAATTTGGGTTTGGGGTTTTTTTTTGCAAAAAAAAAATCCCACAATTTTCCCATTTTCTTCTGTTGACACAATTTTTTCATTTTTTAATTTCCTATTTTTTCAAAGTAAACCCCAATTTTTTTTCAATTCACATACTTAAACTTTTTAAAAATTTAAGTGTTTTCCCTTTTCCTACTGAATAAAAATTTTTTATTTCTGGGGTTTAATTTCCCCTTAATTTAATTTTTGATTTTTTTATCCCCCCGTTTTTCCAGTTAAAACCCAAAATTTAAAATTTGCTTGGGAATTGTTTTTTTTTTTTTTATTTTTTTTTAAATTTTTTTACAATTTTTAAATAGGAAATCTTTTTTTACAGTCATAAATAATGAATCGAATAAAACTTTCTTTTGATAATATAACACCCCAATAAAATTTTTTGAATTTTAAACGGATAAATTTTTAAAATAAGTAAAAATTCTCAAATATAAAAATCTGGGAAAATTAATTTTCCAAAAGCATATCTTTTTTCACAAATAACATACAGTCAAGCCAGTCAAAATTTGCATCCATTTTGCTTACTAACGTATGCATTGCTAAGACAGATGAATCAACGAGTTTAGATGGCATGTGTCAAGGTACAAAATGATGTGTGTGATATATATTTTTAGCATATTACAATTATAAATATAAAAATATCGGGTACAAACATTAATCATACCGTGATATTTATTGATACATTTTATCTTTTGTCAGAAATAATTAATTACAAAACTAGAAACACTTTAAATCACACTTAATTGTGTAGATTGATTTGGTAACTTTGGTATATAGACAGATCAAATGTTAAGAAATTGAACGTAAATTAAGATACAATGATGCATTCTTTCTCTAAAGGTTAAACATCATTCGAGTACGTACGGATAGTTATTAAAATCAAATTGTTACAATAAACAACTTTTAACTAAAAGGGCTTGCATGTGCATTCTTACTCAAAATGTTTTTTTTAGCACGAATAAAAAGTTATTAATCCAAAACTGTTTTAATGATCAACTTATTATCTAAAAGGGCTTACATGTGCGCTGAGAAAAATAGCTTAAAAACTCACCGTGTATGATTCCATCTGATATCTGTATCCAGAAAAAATATATTGATGTGACATAATGGATAGTTTTGCAATTTCAAGGTTCATTAAAACCACAAAAGTTTCAATTTTCAATACTTTTATGTTTTTTTTTTTTGTTTTTTTTTTTTTTTTTTTTTTTTTTTTTTTATTTGTGTGTGTGTCCTATTAAAATTTCAAAAGAAGTAACTCACTGGCCGTATAGTTGAAGCCCTTTTGCATTTTCGCATTTAAAACAGTTTAAGTGATTAAATATCATTGAATTTAAAACACACTTGTTAACATTCTGCTTCTTTAATGACTTGTCACGTGATATTTGGTGCTACTTTTATCTTACATACTTTAAATCCATTATCTAAACAGTATAAAACATATTTGCCCTTGATGCAGATAATCATAGGCTAATATAAAATGTTATATGAAAGAGAGGCATGTTATTTTAAGGCATATCAATATTGGTTCTGTCTGTTAGTTTCAATGTGATACATGTAAAATGTTTTGTTCTATTCAAATAAAAACATAAAAAGCATCATATCATACCGTCGAAAAGCACGGTCTGTTAGCACAGCAAATCGAATTTTTCAGCACGAGCAGAAAGCGCAGCAAGTCTAGCACTTCAATGCGTCCAGGATGCAGCTAACTTTAATGATAATTATAAATGTCACTTTTAACAATTTACTAGAGTGATGATTATTTATTATTATAGTCAACAAGTATTGCTTTTTAAAATTGCATGTCTTTGCAAATTATTAATTTCTACCACGGCAACAAAAACTCATAAAAAGTTATTGTCTGAAAACAAAAACAAGAATTATAACATGTAAATGGCATTTTATATTTGTATGTGACATAAAAATTTCTGAAAGCCTTGTCAACGAGAACAAAAATGCAGTGATTTCTCTATAAAAGGAAATAATAGAATTCCAATTTAACAATTATTTTATACGCTGAATATTGATGTAAATTAGTATTCAAAAGCTTTGTTCATTGGAGATAAATTCAAAACCGCTGTTTCTTCTCTGCTATTAAATTGATTCAAAGGCGTCGATCAGTGATTATAAGCTTTGATTAAATCATTAAAATTTTCTTCAAAAAAGTTGTTCTTTGCTGTTTATCATTGTTCAGATTCGTTGTTCGTTGGTCACTTATAGGTTGTAGGTCACGAAATTGTCATAAAAAGCAAATATATATTTATAACAGATAAAATATTTTATATCATATAGATTTCTTTAAAACTGGAGTTTAAGTCTAAACAATTTATTTTAGGTTTTTTATCCTTTCTTCATGTAATTTTTAAAATGATGATATTGACAAACAATTTATAGTTACATGTTCAACAAAATAAACTTCATAGAAACAATGTTCTGATGAAACATATTGAAACAGTTTTGTTTTGTGCATTCGAATTACAGTTATTTTCTCTGTATTGTCAAGGTGTGCATATAATTTCTATGTACAAGTGTTAACTCGTAAAAATAGACGATGGCCATTTGTAAACGGTGATTTTACAAGCTAACGTTTTGTCTTAATATTATCATTTCTCTAATTGTATTTTTCAACATATATTTTTTGCGCATTCTGTTTGCTTATAAAATTGAAATATCTATTCTACAAAGCTACTTAAGTCCAATAAATCATGTTTTAACAGCCTAAGAACAATTCAATGATGAGATAATAATGATAACAGCCTCGGTTACAATTTTGATTCCATAATGTTTCATTTTATCTGTTGTTTCTTTTTCTTTCTTTGCTTATATCCGAATTGAAACGAAATTGATACCATCAATTATACGCGCGGCGAGGTTGTTTTTAACGTTTCGTTCTTCATTCGAAATTCGGTCGACTAATAAGCAAACCGGAGCAAAGCAATTGAAAAAGGACATTATTGGCAACAGGACATTACTCCGCGAGGGAAAAAAATCCAATGATTCTTAATGATGCGGCTTTTTACAACATGGAACAAGTAAATGTAAAATGTTCTAATGTTCTGCATTACTTTAAATTGATATTGATTTTTAGGAAATTATTGTTCTAAAAGTTACAAAAATCGAGAGAGCTGCCACTTTGCCTTGAAGCCGGAATGATATAAAACGCATTTTTAAAGTTTTATTGGAGATGATTCTGAAAATTTAAAACGACGATGGATGACGAATTCCAAAACTGTTCTAATACATCCAATAGATTTATTTCAACTAAAGTAGTTATAACTTGGAATAAGATATTCGTGGCTGTTATTTTATACGCAATTACATTTGCAACTATATTCGGAAACGTGCTTGTGTTGATAGCTGTAAAAATGAATAAAAAGTTGCAGACGACTTTTAATTATTATATAGTAAATTTGGCGATTACTGACGTAGCTGTTGCCGTGACTGCGATGAGTTTTATGGCTACACATACTGTCCTAGGATATTGGCCTTTTGGAGAAGCTCTTTGCGCCGTTTGGATATTTTTCGATTATGGTATATTTATACTTTTTACACTGAAACTAAATCAAATGTGTTTGTGTTTGAGAAGAAAGCGTTAACAAACTTTCCTTTAGGTCTTATATCAGCAAATATAAGTTTTTTAAGTATCATCAAATACGTTTAAAGATAAGATATGTAGCATTGAAAATTTGCATATTATGACGAAATCAATGTGAATTTACAATAATTATCATCTGTTTTCTTTAGTCCTTTTCGTTAATATATTTTTAAAGCACAGATTTTGGTCCGTAATACATGGCTGATATATCAAACTGGTAACAACATCTTATGTGTTCAGTTATGATGTTTGTATTGGTGTTCACTTTCAGGTATGACATTTGTGTCGGTGTTCACTTTAAACCTGATATCAGTGGACAGGTTTTGGTGTATGAAATGGAGTGTACACTACAGACAACATCATACAAAACGGAAAGGCATCATCTCAATTGTATTTGTCTGGTAGGACATTATTTACTTATTGAATTGTTTGGAAACACAAATTCTTCAACAGTGTTTTGTTTTACGATTTTATTAGGTTTTTCAAAACCAACCGATATTTCATGTTTTTACATTTTGATATCATGTTTTTATACGTAGAGAAAAAAAAGAAAATTATAATCATACCAAAAACAGTAACTTTCAAACAATGTTTATAGACAATTTTGTTGCACGTTAGGGATATACGTTTTTCAAAGCTACAAGTATAGGAGTGAAATCTGAATAATCTAATCAGCAAATAAATGTGATGACAAGTACTGTGATTATAAGGCCATAACCTTTCGATTCTTTCAGGTTATTGTGTTTGTCATTTTATAATTTGTTTTGAATAAAAATATTTTGTTTTCTCTTAGGGTGTTTATGCTGATCCTGTGGGTTCCACCATGGCTAATGGATAGACTTAGACATAGCAAACCGGGAGAATGTTTTTGGGATCCATCATTAAACAAAGAGTTTGTCTTTATCTTGGCATTACTGGGGCATCATGTTCCTTTTTGCATTATGATTGTGAGTTATATTTACGTGTTTTCTTTCATGCGTAAAAGGTCAGAATGTAAAAACGCCAATCGTTGTCATACAAAATCAACTGTAATTATCGAAAGACCAGAAAAATGTGAAAATGCCTCGAAAAAATGTTCTTCAGCGACACCACCGGATGATTCAAAAGGAAGTCTAGAACAGCAAGTTTTACCGCCTCTAATACCTTGTGCAAATGGTGCAAATAATCTTGCTACTGTTCATATTCTTCAAAAGACTAATACGCTGGGAAAAGACGTTCAGGAGGCTCGTCGTAAAAGTAGGTTTACTCGTGACAAAAGGTTATTTGTAATAATGACCTATATCATATTAGGATATAGTATTTTATGGCTGCCTTTTCATATTGTGTTTGACGTAAGCATTGCTTATCCCGGTTGGGTGTCGAAGGGCGTATTAAACATATTATTCTGGATGACGTATTTTAATTCAACGATAAATCCGATATTGTATAACTTTAGCTGCATCGAGTTTAGAAAGACGTTTCGAAAGATTTTGATTACGTAAGTGAGTTTTGATAATTTTTAAATGTGCCACATATTCTGGACTTTCTAAGTAACAATCTCACATACACTGATGTACAGTTATAGGACCCCTAGAGTGCCTTTTGATTATAAACTTGACGTGTATCATTTATTGTACTAAGCATGGCTAAAACATTATTTAAGCAGATATTTGTTTTAAGGACTATTGATGAACAAAAAACAAAAAAGAAGGGTGTGCTAGATATCATTGTTAATTAATTAAATTGAAAAAGACTCATTTAATTCTTTGTAAGTGTTTAGTTTTCCCCCAGAAGTTTTATTAAAAAAAACCTACGAAACTAGAATATGAAAAATCAGATCAACAAAGAAGGATGTTATTCAATAAAGATATCCCCCTACACGACCCAGCAACATAGGACTACCGGCAAGGAGTCCGGGATGGACTTTGATATTAGATTATGTAAATACAAACTACGCATAGAAGAAAACATGTACTAAAAAGGGTATATAAAAGCAGAATTTGAAAATTGAATTAAAAGTATCAAAATAAAATGTGAATAGACAGTTGTTAGGATAGAATTATTATAGAATAGATTTTGTAAATTTAATTTAATTTATTAGCTTATTTATTATAGTGAATATTTCATATAAAATATAGTTACTCCTTCTCTTCGAAATCTCTTCGAAATTTAATATTTTACGTGGTGATAACAACACTAAGGGCAAACTTTGTTACAGTTTTGTTTTCATGAACAAAATAACAAGGCAAAAGCAAATTGTATGCAGTACTTATTCTTATCATGTTATGAATATTCTTTGTGTTTTGCATTTCTGCTGTCTGGGACATTGTTCAAACATTTAAACATTTTAATGGTTAATACATTTATAAAAGTCATTAAAACGAATTAACTGGACAAACACTGTAACAATCATTGATAAACTTTAATTTTTCTCACAATACAATCAATCCACTGTTTTATCTAAGCTTTATACTGCAATCGGCTTACACTGAAATAATCAATGGCTTGTTTTGTAAACATTTGTTTTGTTATAAATGATGATGCCTGTAAAGCAAGCCAGAATAAATGGCTTTGTTTAGAATTCCTTTTAAAATATTAGTTTCTAGAAATAAGTATGCTAAACATAATGATAATCCCCCCCCCCCTTAGATTACAGTGCATTACACTATGCTTTTGGAAAGTAAAGTACAAAAAAACGTAGTTTTTGTTAAACAAAGACATCTGACACAATATTATGTCAATGCTTTTTGTTATGATTAAGAAACAATCATCTTTAGGTCTTTTTTAGCATTCTAAGTCGTTTTGTTATGATCGACAGGTTATCGAGTCCATCTAATCGGTAAGTTTTGGATCATATTGTGTTTTGATTGGCTATTGTTATCCTGACAATGATCACATACCTACAAGTCGTATAAAAAGTATAAAAAGTACAAAACGACAAGATATATATTTGAGGGGCCTCCGTGGCCTCCGTGGCCGAGTTGTTAAGATCGCTGACTTGAGATCACTGGTCCCTCACCGCTGTAGGTTCGATCCTCACTTGGGTCGAAATCTTTCATGTGAGGAAGCCATCCAGCTGGCTTACGGAATGTCGGTGGTTCTACCTGGGTGCCCGCTCGAGCCTGAAATAATGCTCGAAGGGGCACCTGGGGTCTTCCTCCACCAATAAAAGCTGAAAAAAATCGACGAAAAAATCTCGGCGGGACGCTCTAGGATGGCCCGACTTGAGTGTACGGTCGCCAATATGGGCTTTCCGGCGGCGACCTTAAATAAACGCATTAAAAAAAGATATATATTGGAAAATAAAACGTTGTAAACGGTTTTACTGCAGATATACATATGTCTTCTTCAATTCAATATTTCACAATTTTCATGTTTAAATTAAATGTAAATTATGTAAGCTGGTGCTAGGGTGGAATGGAATTAAGCTTGCCATAATTTTCAATGTCGTTCGGTTATAGATTTCATCAAACCAAGCCCGCAATATTTTCAATTTAGCCGTTTATGGCGATATTTATTGATTTCGATTTTCTCTATTTTACAAAACGGTCACTACATAGGCCTTTATTAAACAAAAATTTTATATCTAAGATACTTCTGATAGCAACAAATTGTACAAACGAATTCAGTCTGTACATATTTTGAAATGTTTGCTTAAAATGTTATGTCTTAATTGAAATTTGTCAAATTTGGAAATAAAAGGGACTCAACTGAGGTATTTTTTAGAATGAATGGACTTGAAATATTCCTTTGATAACTTGTGTACTTACTTGATGTAAGTCTGAACTAATAACTTCTGTGGGAATTTCAGATCATTACTTTACTCCCTTTCTCCAGAATAATTAGTTTTGTTGTATAAATGGCCACTCAAAACGTTGTAAAAAAATCATGATAAAAAAGCAATTTTTAAATAGAAATTAACTCTTAGTATATTTCTTTATTATTCTCGCTTACTTTTCTATTTTAAGTGCATCACGTGACCTATGCAAGAATTTCAAATTTAATGTGGTTTTTAAGGTTTTTTGTCCTCAGTAGGAGTATCTTTAAGTGTTGTGTGGATAGGGAAATGAGATGGTCAGGATTATAAAATTTAGTATCAGCAGATCAAGTGTAAATGTGAACTGAACAGAAAAAAGTATACAGACAAAGATAACGCAATTTGTAAACATTAAAGACAAATGAACATAAGCAATATCTGAGTGGCATGAAATTAAACGGAAAATGTTAGACAGCGGAAATCTCTTTTGCTTCACAGAAATGACACTGTGGCGTGCGAATATATTTAACAATTAATTGTGTGAACTACAAACTAATCTCAATACTCATTAACGGACTGAATTTTAAAGAAGTGCAAAATATCTCGGTCGAATATGAATGCTGTTCTCTTTATTTTTTAGTTATTTTTATAAGATAATGACCATGAAAACGCAATGTTTCAGTTCATAAGAGGTAATAAAAACGAATCGGTCACATGATATGATTGATTTATCATATATCATATTAAATGCTGAAAGGTGTTTTGATTGGCTGCAGCTATGTCAACTCTCTGTAGCTATGATTCTAAACATGAATTTCATTAATATCAGTTATACAATTTAATTAAATATCTCAATATTTTACTTCATATATTGTACATGACTTTTTTGAATTTCAGCAAATATGTATACAACTTTGTAATATTAAATGACTTTTTTAATTCAGACACGTGAATAATTTATCAAAACAACCAATGTGTTTTTCTTTTAAATATTTAATTACTAAACGACCTTATAGTAAACAAATGAAATAAGACTATTAGCCCGACGCATTAATCACTCGGTCACGCGGCCCCTGCTTGATTGCCGGCCGCGTGGGCTCAAACCCAGTCAGTGGAAAGCTATTGTTCATTGAGTAAGAATTTTTACGCTCATTGTCTGGAACTTGTTGGTTTCAGGAATGGATTCGGGAGTGTTTCAATAAGCATAATCGAAAAAAAATAAAATATTATAAAATGAATGAAATCATTTGAATGAACCTGCTACACGCTGGATTGTTATGAATATGAATAAGCACTACTGTAAGATAATTAAACACAAAATATTTTTGTAACCAATAATTTGATAGCTGATAAGACAGAATGTATTTACATAGACAAATGATAATATTGCCGTAAAAAGCAATAACATGTTTTGTTGGTGACATTAGATGACTCGAATGATAGTGCTGTTTGTTTTACTACAAAATTATTAATGAGAAAAAATAATTTTTCTTAGCACAGCTGCTGTCAATTTATTATTTACATGTTGTAGTTATCATTATTTTTTGCGTCAAAGATATGTCTCTATTACTGGCACAGATTTGAGTCATTTTTCTGCATTAAATTTAACGAATTTTCAAACAAAACATTTTCTTTTTCTCAAAGATTTCTTAGATTTATAAAAACATGAGCTATGTTGAATGATGCATCTCTCTCTCTCTCTCTCTCTCTCTCTCTCTCTCTCTCTCTCTCTCTCTCTCTCTCTCTCTCTCTCTCTCTGAAAATTTAATTCTCTGCCCGAACAAAAAAAGAACACCCTGGCACTGACTGACTGCAACTGAAACATTCTAACTAAAACCGGTTCTTGTTATGCTTCAAAATGCTAAATATTAATTTTCATATGTGTTAATTATTTCATAATGAACAGTACGTTGTTGTTTTTGTTGTTATTTTTTGTTGTTCTTTTTTTTAACTTTCGAATCTAAATTTCATATTACATTTTATTCATGTGTCACGTACTATTTTATAATCTATAGTTATTCAAATGAAAATTATACAAAAAATGTTTGTGCCACGCGGTATGGAATACGCTAAAATATCACGAATATTTTACCTTTATTCGGAATATTCGTATCGATTTGACTGTATGCATTGGATTTAGAAGACTTTCATTACTAATATTTTAAACGTTATACAGTATGATTTGCAGTTAGAATGTTTATCCACATGTCCACACTTACACTATAATTATCTATCTCCTATTTTAGTTTAAACATATTTTATTACATCAAATACATGTTTACAAACATATTATACAAATAATGAGTATATATCAAAATGCAAATGGGTTGGGCAGCAAGTTCTTAAGCCATTCCCAGAAATCAATATTACAGAATAAAATACTATTAAGGCAACAATGATTACTTTAAACATGTATATAAACTTTAAAATATGTATTTGATTTTAAACAGTTCATTTATTAATTAAACTTTAATGTAAAATTTTGATTTTGATGTGCGATCCATCCACAGGTTGCTATCATGATCTCACTTTAGCAGTGATTTTAAAATAGCTGAATTGTAGTTTGGTTTTGTGTGTTAGTAATTGTTTGTCATTTAAGAAGGTTAGATTAGAGCAACATAGCCAAAATAAATGAAAAATTTTAGAATAAAAACAAGAACAAGATGAAACATCAAATATTATCAAAACGATAGGTCGTCTTAATATATCTTTTTATCTATCTGCTACGTCAATTATAAGCAATTGCTTAAAATTTTAAAACATTT